TCCCTCTCCCACTCCCACTCCCCCTGCTTGTGTTCCCGCTCTTGCTGTGTTTCTGTCAAATAAATAAAAATCTTAAAAAAAAAAAAAAAAAAAAACCAGTTGGAAGGATTTAGCTTCTGCACCAGCCAAGTTAAAGGCCTGTTTCTTTTTTCCGTTTTCTGAATATTTTAAAATCTACTGTTTCTCACTTCCTCTAACGTGACCTACACTCTGTTCTTTCATATCCATGGCTTGCAGTTCCTCTTTGGCTCATCCACTGATCTTCTCTTGACCTTCTCTTCCCCCAGGGCTCCTGTTCTCTCCTCACAACTTCCTGCCACTGTTACGCTCAGGTGTGTCTGCTTTGCCTTTATAGAAAAGGTAGACCTACTGCAGAAATTTTCTTCAAGATGCTGCAGTAGATAATCTTTCGAGATGTGCTCTTCCCCTCACTCATTCTAGGTGAAGAATGGTCACCTTTTCCCAGTTCTGTAGTACTATTCACAGGCCCCTCATTAGTTCACTACTCCCCTCTCCCCTCCCCATATATACACCCCTCTAAGAAGGGATTCTCTAGTCTCATTTATTCAAGCATTTATTTACACTGGTACGGACTCATGGGTATTTTATACATTCTATTTCAATTCCTATGTGATTATGTAATATTTTATATAATCCAAAATTTTATTTTGTTGCTCCATGTGTTCTAGCTTTGGCCTTTGGAAGCTCTTTCACAGTGGATTTTTTTTTTTTTTTAATTAAGGATTTCCTTTCATCTGGCACTGTAAAAGACTCCAGGCTCATCTTGTACATTCTCTGCCCCAGTCCTGGAATCAGCCATTGCTCCAGGCAGCCTTGGTTCCTATTATTATGGAATGGTATTGGAAACCAAATCTTAAGTGTTCCAAAGTGGGCACTAGGTGTGCTCATGGCTATTGGGGGGTCATTGCTTCTAGGCTCTCTCAGCCTGCAGAACAAGGAAATTTGAATGTTCCACTAACCTGTGTAGAGACATATCTATAAATACCTCTATACATCCTCTGCATCTGTATTAAGCGACACTTGAGCTTATACTGAGGGCTCCAACAAATCCATTACCACATGGATCATTCTAGCCTCATCATCTTACTGATCTGTGAAATTGCACTCTAACAGTGAGAAACCCAGCTTTCACCCTCTACTATCCATTTAGTTAACTGTTCAGTTCCATCATACATGTACAATGGTTTCCAAATTGTTAACCAGTACCTCCATGAGAAGTAACTGTCACTCCGAATATGGTGCCTATATACAGTTTCATTTGCTTTTAGCCTCACAGTATTCATTTCCAAAGTTGGTCAAGCTCAGTATCTTTTCTCCCCATCCCCTCCAGTGAGGTTATTAGATGGTTTTGTCACATACTGCAGTCCATCCTGGGATCACCTGACCTCCTAAATTTGCTTACATTAAGGTTCACCCTTTGTACTATAAAGTTCAACAGGCTTTGACCAATATCTAGTGCTATATATCCTACCATTACAGTATCGTACAAAATACCTTCATGACCCTCAAGAATTCCTTATGCTTCACCTATTCACCCTCCTACATCCCTTCCCTCCAAATCCCTGGCAACCACCAATCCACTTACCAGCTCTATAGTTTTGCCTTTTTCTTTTTTTTGCAATTTTTTTTTTTTTTAAGACTTTCATAGAGAGAGAGCACAGAGGGGAGGAGCAGAGGGAGAGGGAGAAACAGACTCCCTACTGAGCAGGAAGCCTGATGCAGGGCTTGATCCCACAACCCTGACATCATGACCTGAGCCAAAACCAAGAGTTGGACGCTTAACCAACTGCACCACCCAGGCGCCCCAGATTTTATTTTTGCATGGATTCACAATTCATTACTTTCAGCCTAATAGTATTCCACTGTCTGGCTGTACCACAGCTTGTTTATCCATTCACCTACTCCAGGACATTTTGGTTGCTCCCAATTTCTGGCAATTATGATAAAGTTGCTATATGTGGATGTAAGTTTTCTAATCAGTTGGGTAAATAGGAGCATCACTGTCAGATGGTATGGTAAGACTATGTTTAGCTTTGTGAGAAGCTAGCCATCTCCCCAAGTGGCTATACCATTTTGCATTCACACTATCAGTGAATGGGAGTTCCTGTTGCTCCACATCCTCACCAACATTTGGGGTTGTAAGTAGTCTGGATTTCTACCATTTTAACAGGGGTATGGGGAGATCTTTGTTGTTTTATTCGCCTTGCCCTAATAACAACTGCCATTGAACATCTTTTTGTAGCTTATTTGCCATCTCTGTATCTTCTTTGGTGACATGTCTGTTCAGATCCTTTACCCATTTTTTAACTGGGTTGTCTCTTTAAGAGTTCTTTGTGTATTTTTGATACAAGTCTTTTAGGAGATGTGCCTTTGCAAATATTTTCTCCCAGTCTGGGGCTTGTCTTTTCATTCTCAATGTCTTTCAGAGCAGATGTTTTTGATTTTAATGAAGTCTAACTGGTCAATTTTTTTCTTTCATGTTATATGCTTTTAGTGTTTTAGCTCCTCACCAAACCGAAGGTCACATACATGTTTTAATGTTTTCTTACATAAGTTTTATAGTTTCATATTTAAAATTAGATCTACAGTTTATTTTAATTCTTATGTAAGGTATAAGGTCTGTGGCTAGGTTCATTTTTGTGTATGAGTATCCAATTGTTCCAGTACCACATGTGGAAAAGACCATCCTTCCTCCCTTGAACTACCTTCACCCTTTATCAAAAATCAGTTGACTACACAGTTGACCCTTGAACAACAGGGCCTTTATATGGGGGATTTTTTTCAATCCATATAGGGCAGTACTGTTAACGTATTTTCTGTTTGTTTTGATTCTTAACAACACACTCTTCTCTAGCTTACTTTGAGAGTACAGTATATAATACACTTAACACACAAAATATGTGTTGACAGTTTATGTTATCAGTAAGGCTTCCAGTCAGCAGCTGGCTGTTAGTTTTGGGGCAGTCAACAATTCTATGTGGACTGGGACTGTGCAGCGGCCCCAGTGGGGAGGGTCAGAGCCCCTAGCCCCCGTGGTGTCCAAGGGTCAACTGTATTTGTGTAGACTGATTTCTGGGCTTGCTGTTCTATCCCACTGATATATGTAGCTATTCTTTTACCCATCACAGGTAAGGATTTTAAGCTCCAGAAAACAAAGAGCCAATGTCCAAATTTTCTGCCCTCATCCAAATGCTCTGCACAGCTTTTTTTCCTTGGCATTATTATCTCTGAAAAGTTAGGGGCGGAAAGGATGGGTAAGTGTAATCTAGGAGAAAAGTACTATGGCCATTCAACAACCCAGAACCCTCAAATACAGAAAGAGTAAGATAAAACTATAGGTCTCTGTTAGGGCATAAACGGGCACAAAATATCTTCCTACATGTTTTCTGATGTTCTTAATTGGAAGACACGAATTTTTTCAAATTATTTCATTTTAACAATAGCTGTTTTAGTGTCAGCCAAGATTTCTACCCAAATTTTGTCATGAGGATGCCTGACATGTCTGCTATGCATAGTTTTTCTGAATTTCAGAACTTACACTAGGATGCTGGGTGAAGCTGGTAAGAGCTGTTAACCACATGCCTTTCTGAACCAGAAGCATTTAAACAGTGTGTAAAGGTGAAAAACTATTTTTAAAGATAATATGAAACACCTCTAATAAGTGGATTATTTCTTAATATCCCTTTAGGCCCCAAGTTTCCTTCTGAAAGAATAGTTAAGCTACAGATATCCACTATATACCTTAGATCTGTGCCCTGTCCAATGTCATAACCACTATTCACGTATGGCTATTTAAATTTAAGAGTCAGTTCAGTTACACTAGCCACATTTCAAATGTTTAATAGCCACACATGGCTAGTAGATACCATACCCGATAGCACAGACACAGACATCCCCATCATTACGGGAAATTTACATTAGACAGTACCGTCTTGGAATACTGAATATAGGATCACTTACCATACTGAAGTTCAGTATGGATGACCTACTTTACAGGCACTCCAGAATGCCTTGTGATCTGATTTACTCGTCCTCTGCTAATATTACTCCCAAGAAACTAGGCAATTAAGTCACAGACTAATGGTTGGCAGAAACTAAGTACTCAAATGTTTGCTGAATGCTAAGTTCTAAATGAATGCCCTCCTGGGGATGGCAGCAATACTGGCAACAAACAGAATCCAGGAGCACACCAACACAAAAGGGCCACTACATAATGTTACAGATTACTTAAGACAGACCCAAAGAATATGCATTACAGGCAAGTTACCAGCTTAAGTTCATGCTACAAGGTCCATCGTCAAGTCTAGCCCATGGTCTGGCATGTTATGGACTCTATGAAGGTTATTATCAAAGCCAAGACGAAAGCAATTTATCAGGCTCATATAAACACTTAATAAAAAATATATATGCAGCACTTATTACTGACCAGATACTTCAATTTTTTAAGCAAATATTAATGATCTATAAACTGTACTTGAGGGGGAGAGCTAGGCTACAAAGAAACCTAGCCTTAAAATTGTCAGTTTGTGTGTGCGGAAATGGTCCCAACAGTGGGAACAAAATGTAGCTTTCACATCATTTCTAGGGTTCTATCAACTTCTGTCTATAGGTTTTTGAGTATCTAAGAGCAATTAAGAAAGACTGAAATTTGGGGAAGTGATCTACATTTGTCAAAATGGATGAATTATTCCGTTTATTTAAAGGTAAGGTATTGGGGCGCCTGGCTGGCTCAGTCAGTGGAGCATGTGACTCCTAGATCTTAGGATCACGACTTCAAGCTCCACGTTGGGTGTAGAGATTACTTAAATAAAAGCTTCTTAAAAAATTAGATAAAAAGGTAAGGTACTGTCACAGCATGGAAACTCAAATTCATATTAAATTCCCTACTCATACCCCTCAGTATTATTACTTTCATAGTTTTACAGGAAAAAGTACATGACAAAAATGTTGCTATTTTCTACAAAGATGAAGGCTCCTACCTTTGTTTTCTTTATCAAATCCTGAAATCTGTTAAAAGAAAATATTTATCTTTATTCAACTGTTCAGTTACAATTAACAGACCAAAGCAGGTTATAAAAACTAAACAATCCTACCAGTGATTTGTAGAGACTGGATTCAGGGTTGATTTTAATGAGCTGTAATAGATCTTGCATAGTAAATACCTTAAGGAAAAGAAAAGTTAAAAAAAAAAAAAATTAGACGTATTTTTTACATCAATGTTTAAAGGATAAACTAGGACATTTCTGAAGACTAAGAGTCATGCTTCAGATTAAATTACAAAATAAAACCATGCTAATATAAAATTGAAGCACTTTCTTATACTACTGATTGATAACAAACATATTAAAGTCACAAGGATAAAGTATTTTTCTTGATCACATAATTAACCTCCAAATATTTCACAATGAAGATAATTGGTCTAATAGGTCTAAATGGTTAATGCCTTATAGATTACAAACACTCAAATAGCTGATGAACCAGTGAAGACATGTCTGAATTCCAGAGTCTTTCAACTGCAATAGTTTTTAAAGTACTATTGCTTCAAAATATAAATGAACTGAAGGTTTACTGTCTTTACCACAATGAATAACTAAATCATACCTAAAATAGTCTTAAACATTTTGGGTGGCTTTTTTTTTTTTAAGATTTTATTTATTTATTAGAGGGATAAGCAGACTCCCACTGAGCAGGGAGCCCGAATGGGGTGGGGGGGAATCCCAGGACTCCAGAATCATGACCTGAGCCGAAGGCAGATGCCTAACCAACTGAGCCACCCAGGCACCCCGTGGGCGGCTATTCTTATTTCTACTACAATATTTATCATTTACTAGACCTACCCTGAGAACATGGATAGGCTTTCAAGTGGTTTTCCTTTATAGAAAATATTCTGTACAGCATTTTAGAGTAGAAACCTGTAAGTATGTGAACTGTATTAACTACTGCTTTAACCACTATGTTATTGACTGGTACTCATCCAAAAAGTTAAATTATGAAACATGATTGGAAACTTCAGGGTATCTGGCTGGCTCAGTCAGTAGAACATGTGACTCTTGATCTTGAGGTCATGAGTTCAAGCCCACGTTGGGATTAGAGCTTACTTTAAACAAACAAACAAACAACAACAACAACAAAATTTAAAGAGTGACGGACCAAACAAGAACTCCTAATGTTGATAAATAAAATTTGGTTGTTAATAAATACAGCATATTTGAATTTTTCAAATACTAACATTGTTCTTATTTTCTTAAAACATCTGAGTATGAAACTTTTAGTCAATCATAGACAAGATAAAGAATAAAAATAGAGAGGGGCGCCTGGGTGGCTCAGTTGGTTAAGCAACTGCCTTCGGCTCAGGTCATGATCTCAGGGTCCTGGGATCGAGCCCCGCATCAGGCTCCCTGCTCGGCGGGAAGCCTGCTTCTCCCTTTCCCACTCCCCCTGCTTGTGTTCCCTCTCTCACTGTCAAATAAATAAAATCTTTAAAAAAAAAAAAAAAGAATAAAAATAGAGAGACAACACCAAGAGTTAAACTATGGACTTTAGGGGCACCTGGGTGGCTCAGGTGGTTAAGCAACTGCCTTCAGCTCAGGTCATGGTCCTGGGGGCCTGGGATCGAGCCCCATTTCGGGCTCTCTGCTGAGCAGGGAGTCTGCTTCTCCCCCTGCCCCTTTCCCTGTTCCTGCTCTCTCTCGCTCTCAAATAAATCTTTTAAAAAATAAATAAAAATAAACCACGGACTTCAGGTGATAAGATGGGACAATGCAGATTCTATGGCAAAAATGTATATAATAGGGGCACCTGGGTGGCTCAGTCAGTTAAGTGTCTGACTCTTGATTTTGGCTCCCAGGGCCGTGATATCGAGTCCTACTGTGGGCTCCACAATGGGCACGGAGCCTGCTAAAGATTCTCTCTTTTCCTCTTTCTGCCCCTCCCCACCTCCCTCTTTTAAAAAAAAAAAAAAAAAAAAGTCACGTACGTAACAAAAAATGTCGCTAGGAGGGGAGGCTGTGCATGTGTGGGAGCAGGGAGCATATGGGATATCCTCCTTTCTGCTCAATTTTGATCTGAACCTCAACTGCTCTAAAAAATTAAGTCTATTAAAAAAATAGGCAAAGTCTGCTGTATCAGTCTTTAAAATAATCAAGTGTGACTAGATTTCTCCAACATTACTGTTAAACATAAATTAGAAAATTGGTAAAAACAGGTGTTTTAGTATTTGAGAATGTCATAGACTTTTAAAAACTATTGTATCCCTCACTTCTCTTGTGTAATCCTAAAGAATAGAAATCTCTGAAGAGACTTTAACATGGTAAGAACATATTTTAGAGATCTAGATTTACCGCCCTGCACTGATATTTACAAATCATGTGACCTTGAGCAAAGTACTTCACCTCTCCAGAGACTGGTTCCTCATCATCTGCAGTGTGCCTAATACAGTGACAATCTTACAACAGACATTCAACATAAAAGGCAACTGTGAGTCTTAGCAGACTACACAGAATGGGAGGATAATTCTAGCTCCAAAACAGTGATTCTACACATCATAATTTTACCAAAAACTAATCGAGAGTCCAAGGAATTGATAACAATAAACAATCAACTTCAGTACTTCCCCTTCGTTACGTGATAGAACATATGATGTGAATTCAAAGATGAATGAGAAACGGACCTCGCTAGCCAAGGAATACTCCACTATTATACAGCACTTACTGTTATCTCAGAAAAAAGCTATTAATAGGAAATTCAAAAAGAGAAAAGGAAAGACTTTACCTTTTCTTTGGCCAAACCACTTTCTGGAAAGAAAACAGAGAGTGAATACTCGTAGCCACATCTTTGTAAGTGATCTGCCACTAGAGAGTTAGAAGCGCCTATTAAGAGGGCACTCCCTTCCACTGAAATGGACCGGGGCTGCAGTTCTCCACTCAACACAGGGTGCATCAATTCGTGAATCAGCTGGTTTCGGAGCTGTGTCTAGCTCAAAAACACAAACAAAAATAACCAAGAAAGAAAAAAATTTTCAGGATTGTTTCACTGGAGATATACAGATTTGTTACATGAATTAGCATCCTTATTTCCAGAATGGTTCTGGATCCGTGACCAAAAGTTAGGAACCATTCCCTAGATAACCCTGTGACACAAGTAGCCTACTGAGTTTTGGAAAAAGAAACTCGTTTTCACCAACTTCCAAGTTAACTTGTGGATAGCCAGAATGCATGTATACTTTAACTTCACTTCCCCAGGAGCCCTTCAGCAGCTTTTCACCAGGGTATCGAGTGCAGGAGACAATTCTGCCCCCTGCTCACCTCTCTGTGGACTATTGAAGGATATGAAAATATTGGGACATATTGATCAAAACAAAATTGGGTTCCCAAAAGGGAAATCACATATGCAAGAGAGAAATCGGTAAACCCAAAAACATATTAAGATGTACTTTTGCATACAGTATTTACATCTCAAGACATTGAAGTATAATAATTTTCTCACATTTTATAAGTGAGAAATTACAGTTCAAAGTGGGTCATTTTCTCAAGGTTATAACACTAGCATTATTCATCTGGGTCTTAACAAAATTCCCTAAATTACTCAGACTACCGGGTATTTGTTCTAGTCTATTTTGCATATCATCTGGAAACATACAACTGGGCTGAGCTTAAGACTGCACTGCCTAGATTCATGGGGTTCAGCAGTAAATGATATCTAATGAATTCATACTAATAGAATACAAGCAAGAGAAACAAATGGAGTTCTTGTTATACTTCTTTCTTCTATCCTTTAGCTCAACAGTAGAACAGTATATAATTACCAGTATAGACCAGGCCTTAGTATATGTCTAAAGTCCCACAGTTAAAAAAAAAAAAAAAGACATTTACAAACAGAATACGCATGTCCTGCCTCATCTAGTACAGTTCAGTAACTGAAATAAAACAAGAGAAATTACAGCATTCTCCACCAGTAAAATTTAGAGGTGATTTAATTAAATTTGTAACTACTAAAGAATATATTTAAATCCAGCTTAATAAAATGCCTTAGGGTGTCTTGCAAACAAATACTGAAACAGGATAAGATTTAGAGGAGTGACAGAAGCAGGAAGGAAAATAAAGGTAGAAAATAAAGCAAAGAACCTTACAGATGAATCCCCAGCTCGACAAACACAAAAAGCAAGCCATCCAGCACTTGCTGGAAGGAATGCCACAACTGGCTGGGGGCTCTGCAGCAGCCAATGTAAAAAAGAGGGAAATCCATTCAGAATTAATGTTCCTAAAACAGAAATAAGTACATTTATGAGGGTGGGGAGGGGAACTGGGAGAGAAGAGACTTGTGCATCCAAAGCACAACTCTCTCAGACATTAAGAGTAGACTCAAAATAAGGAAAAAGACTTGATAAACTCCATTTAATAGATACCGGACTTTGTACTTCACCAGAAATTCTTTTCAAACACCCAAATAGAATGTTAATTAGGCCATTAAAAAAGTCAATGAATTTTAAAAATTAAAAATCACTCAGGCCATCGTCACTGAACTGAGAAAACAAAAATTATCTCCGACTTAGTAAGTAAAAATCTGTCTTGCCACTTAAGGCTGGAATAACAGAATTGAAGAGCCAGCCGCAAAAGGAAACAATATTTCTCTAGAAGATACACATTTGTAAAGTGAACAAAGCTAGCATAATCCTGATACCAAACCCAAACAAGGGCAGCTTAAGAAGGATAAGGATACATCAGTATCATTTGTGACTACAAATGAAACACTCTCAAATCTAATTCAGAAGACAGTAAAAGAAAATACGCCATGGCCAGGAATCCAAGGACCATTCCACATTAGAAAGCATATTAATGCATTATACACTACAATTAATTCCAAGCGGGTTAAAGAGTTAACTGTAAAAAAATAAGGCCTTTTTAAAACACAAAAAGTGAATACTTGTTCTCTTAAAGAACTGAGAATAATTAGCAAAAAAAACACCAAGAGATTTGACCCTATTAAAAATGTAGAGCAGTATTTTTAGAACCAAATTAAAACTGAACACCAAGATAAAGTATGGCTGCAAAATTGGAAAAGAAATTAAGTTTCTATTAAAAGAAATCTCATACATTAATAAAACACTGCTGGGTGGGAGGGGGAAATGGGCAAAGAACATAAACTGCCAATCCACAGAAAACATACAAATGGCCAGAAAATATGTACAACCCCATTAATAATCAAAGGAATAGTAAAGGGTTTTCCCATGTTTTAAAAAATGTCATGATAATATCATTGGAGAGATAAGTATTATCAAATTGCTGGTGGAATATACACTATTACAATCTTGCTAGAACAAGACCCATATACTGAGAGCCTTGAAACTTAGGCCTTGGGTGGCTCAGTCAGTTAAGCATGTGACTTCAGCCTGGGTCGGGATCTCAGGTTCCTGGGATGAAGCCCAATAGGGCTCCAAGCTCAGCGGGGAGAGTGCTTCTCCCACCCCCTCTGCCCCTCCCCCTGCTTGTGCTCTCTCTAATAAAATCTTTAAGGAATAAAAGCTCAGGCTTTTGGTTCAGTAATGTCACTTAACCCATCCCAGGCAAAAAGTGAGAGATGCAATTGAAGGAATGTGTAGACCTGGGTATAATCTGAATCTTCAACAGGGGACTGCTACATAAAATTACCCATACATTCAAAGACAAGCCCGGTGCCATTGAAAACGAGGATTTCAAGGAACTTTAAAGGACACAGGAAAATGTTGACCACATAATATCAGATTAAAAAGGAGGGGTGTCTGGCTGGCTCAGTCAGTGGAGTGTGGGACTCCGGGTCTCCAGGTTGTGGGTTCAAGCCCTGCACTGGGTATGGAGATTACTTTAAAAAAAAAAAAAAAATACACTTATGCCAATTAGTGGCTGTATTAGCGATGTTTCTCCATGTTTTTCTAGATTTTTCAGATTAATCTCAAGGTTTAAGTTACCAAAACAATGGGAGAGGGAGGAAAATTTTTTAAGAAGCTCGCTTTTCCTTGTTTTTTAAGGGGGGGAGGGGCAGAGGGGGAAAGACAGAATCTTAAGTAGACCCCACCCCCAGCTGGTCAAGGGCTGAGTCCGCAACCCTGATCATGACCTGAGCTGAAACCAATAATTGCAGGCTCAAGGGACTGAGCCACCCAGGTGCCCCCTTAATTTAACATTTTAAATATAAAATAGACTTTTGAAATGTATACAGTAATGAAAACATGTGAGCTAATCCTACTCCTTCATATAATATGTACTAATATTTGCTGCCCAAATATTTATACATTTCAATACGTTTTAAGGAAGAAATTTCGCATTCCCCAAATTATTCTATGGTAAGTAGTACACCTAATGTTTTCTATATGGCGTCAATTCCTTTCATTCCAAAAGCACGTACTATTACGAAACCACTTACTAATTCAGGACTTGCAAGCCAGATTTATAAACCAAGTCCAACTTTATTAGAATGTGTTCACTTTATAGAGCTACCCACTACTACCTTAGTATCAGTCCAATAAACCTATTATTTGAATATGCTCTTTTAAGACCAAACTCCAAACCATTTAAGTCTTCCGTATTCCATTACAAAGAGTTACACAGGAACATAAAAATGTAACTTACCAACACAATCTACGTCATACTGTTTTTTAAAAGCCAAGACCTGGGTGTATTTAAATATGGACTGCCCGTTACAGGTTAACTTGTAAAAGTTATGTAAAAGATATGGCTAAAACGGATACCTTGAGCGTGTCCAGTATACCCCGATCCTTAAACGTCTGGTATAGCTTTTTTCGCAGTTCATCTTGACTCAACACGTCAGATTTGGGGGGCATAGTGGACTGGAAGAAAAAATGGTTACGGGTTACCCGGCGGGCACATGGACCATGAATTTCTGAAAACAGACCAGTGGCCTCCAGGGAAACCCGAAGAGGCTGAGCAGGGTTAAAGCAACTATAACGAAAACAAACAAGAGGTTACGTTTCCACGGGTCCCTGAGGAGGGGCCAGTGTATCTACCTGAGCCATCGGCTGTCAGCTTCCCCTGCCGCCGACTTCGCCCAGCCGGTCCTGCCTCGGCCCGAGTTAACACCCAGCCCGAGCTACAGGCTCAGGACAAAGCGGAATCCCGGCCTTCAGAGCCCAGTCTCTGCCTGGGGGCCAGTCGGGAAGAACAAGAGAGCTGAACACTGCTTCTCGACTAGGAACTCTAGCAGACTCGCATTTCCTTTCTCAACGGTTCTGATGGGTAGGCGGGGTCGTGGTCCACACGCGACTTTCCCACGCGGCTGGAGGGCGGGGACCGGTAGTGAGGCAACAAGAGAAAAACGAGGTACGACCGGGAATTCGCCGGGCTGAGCGTTGATCCCGCCCTTCCCCGCCCGCCAAACCTAACCGCCCTGGTCGGGAGTACCAGGGCGCACGCGCTTGGCTGCGCAGTCCTCTGGCCGGAAGCTCCTCCCAGCTCTCGCGTGATCTCAACGGCGGATTCTCGCGAGGATTGCTCGGGGAGTTCTGACAGAGGCTGCCAAGCGCGGGTCTGCCGGGGGGAAGTGACTGGCTGTTTCCGCTGTCGGCCGCTCCCTGCAGGTAGGAGAGGGAGTGAGTAGGGGGGCTGGGAACTCCAGGGGACGTTCCGGGCCCCGCGTGACGCGGGTTTTGGCCCAGTCTCTCCAGCCGGCCCGGGGGCAGCCGGATCGGACCTGGCCAGTCCCTGTTCGGCTGATCTCATCCCAGGCCACTCGGCCAGTGCCCATCGCGTTTCAGCCTGCAGACGTCGGCCAGCTCAGGACCTTTGCTTCATTTTGCCTTTCATAGGCCATTCGGGTAACTTGGGTTTTTTTTAAAGGGCCGTGCTGTTGTCATTTGGAGCTGGGTAATTCTTCGTGGGCCCTGTCCTGTGAGGGGAGGGGATTAGTCCTCTCACAGGCAGCCTGATAGTTTGTAACAAAGTGCTTGGTAACATTGTCTCGAATAAGTTTCCATGTAACCAAAAAGGAGCAGCCCTAAGCTTGTCCTCTGGGCGGCTTGGAAGAAGTCTGTCTAGCCCAGAGTTAAATACTTGGGACCCACGTAGGTACTGCCCTTCGATCACAGCCATCTTTCCTGCTACAGATCTTTCTTGTCTCAGCCTTTATCAGCACCAGGTCCTGGCAGTCACTACCGCTGTTTAGAACTGGCTCACCAGCGATAACCCATTTGCCATCCCTAGTCAAATCCCTTTTCCATTAGACAGCATACATTATATTTGAAGGTAAGATCCTGCTGTGTCTCCCTCCCCACCCCCAGAAAGGTCTTCCCCAGTTTAAACATCCTCCCTTCCTTCAGTAGCTCTTCTTTCCAGAGCATTCCTTACAACACACAGTTCCGAGTTATTGATCCTTTTAAAATGAGATTCCCAGAAGTATGTTCCCTGGAGATGTAGTTAGTTAAAAGGACATGGTCTTAATGCAGCCTAAAATTGGCATTAGCTTTTTGGATTACTATATCAGGCTACTGCCCCTAATTGAGCTTGTTGCAATAAATGTAAACTTTTGGGTCCTTGTAGATGAACTGCTCTTAACCTAGGTTTCTCTCCTATTGTACAGTTGTTTATTTGGTTTTTGTTTTAAGTACGGGATTTTTTTTTGCACGCTCTTAAATTCTGTCATTTCACTTCAATTCTCTTAACCTGGAGGGGGTTTTTGAATCCTTAGTGTTGCCTTCCAGTTTATTAGCTGCCTGAGCATGTTATCCTTGAATGTGATAAATTGTCCCGCTCTTAAGCATTCAAAATGTTGAGCTGGACTAGGTTAAGGTCATGCTCAGCGGTTCCCTAAAGACCCCATGCTGTCAACTGACTTGTAGAACTTTAAGTTCTTGGGGTATTGACATTCAAGTCAGGTAGGCGTGGTCCCTCACTCAACAAAACGAGTGTTTTAATCTATTCCAAAAGTACCCAGTTACAGAAGATAAGCCTTTGTTTCTGAAAATATTAACACTTACCTATCTCAGATGGTTTGACTCTTTTGTTCCTGAGATTTCCCATGTCACTGATTAGTATACAATCACATTTGTTAATTGAAGATATAAATTTGCTAAGACTTGAAGGCCTGTATTTATTGAGATGTCTTTTTTTTTAATATACCTGTCTTGAGGTTCACAGCCCACCTAATTTTGTCACACTTCCTATTAGAAAAATCATGCTGAGAAAACTGAAGTTCAGCAGATCTGCATCCTCTTATGTACCAGGTGACCTTTCTCCCCTTTTTCTTGGATTGTAGTCTAAGAAGGCTTTTAACTTCACACATTTCCATTCATTTTGTGCTTTTGCCCTTCTCATGCCAGCCTCACAGAGATGTGGTCTCATTTTTGTGTTCATTACTAGTTAGTGCCCTCTTTCAGTTCAAGGTAGTCCAGAGCTCCTGTATCACCCGTTGATTTCTTTAGTGGTCGCTCGCCTTCTCTCTCAAGCAGCTCAAATCACCTAGCCATCAGGGACAGCAGCTGTTTTCATACCAGGTGAGAGTCCTGGCACCCCTCCCTTCAGTCAACAATTCCAGTCTCTTCTTGTGGAGTTTCTTCATAAGCGCCTAAACTCCACCTTCTCACAAAGGTGCTGTTAATCGTTTGCTCACAGACTTCATCAGTCAGGCCTCAGAGACCGTGAGGACCTCAGCACTAGAACCTTCAGGAGGTTCTTTTCTGTGTTGAGGCTAATCCCAGCATGCCTCTCACTCCTGTGTTCCAGCTGCACCCGACCCTGTCCCAGCTACTCCCCCCCCCCCCCCGCAGTTCCATTCCCCAAGCGTGGAGCACTTATTCTGTACTGGGCCTTAGGGAGGCATGCTGGGAAAGAAAAACGATTACCCGCAGGTAGCGTCCCCCTTCCCCTCCTTCCGGCCTTCTACAGTGCTCTGAAACTTGTCCCGTGCTAAGTGCACTCCCCTTGTCCTCAGTCTGCCTCCAGAACGCACCTACCTTCTGTGAGCACCCTGAGTGTTTCCTTTTTTCTCACTCCTGCAGCTTTTTCAGCTCTGACGTGTGTGTTGTCTGCTGCTCTAACAAAGTTGAGGGGCTTAAACAACACAAACGTATTACCTTACACGTCTGTGGCATAGACATTGTCACGGGTCTCACTGGGCCGGAATCCAGGTACCGGCAGGGCTGTGTTCCCTTCTGGAGGTTGTCAGGAAGAATCAGTTTCTTTGTACTTTCCAGCTTCTAGAGGCCGCTCGGCTTCTGGTCCTTTCTTCCCTTTTCAACACTGGCCGTGCTGCATCTCCAGCTCCACGCCCCCACCCCCTTCTGTCGTTGCACTTCCTTCTGACCTTTCTTTGAGGCCTCTCTCTTCCACTTTTAAAGACCTTTGTAATTATATTGGGCCCACCTGGCTAGTCCAGGCTCCTCTCCCTGTCGTAAGGTCAGCTGGTGAGAAAGCTCAGTTCCATCTGCAGCTTTAATTCCCCTCAGCCAGGAAATTAACATTCACAGGTTTTCGAGATCAGGAGGTGGACAGGGCGGGGCGTGCAATTCTGGCTACCACCACATGTTCAAAATTGACGTGTTCATTTCATCCCTCTTTTTTCCCTTATTTCCTTTCTTGGTGAATAGACTCATCTTGATATTCTGCTTGATCACCTCAGTCAGGCATTTGGAAGCATCCTTGATTCTTCCCTCTTCCTCAGCTCCCCAGTTTAATCCATTGCCAAGTTCCGTGTAGCCATCTCCTCCACACCTGGAGACCTAGTCTTCTTAGGAGATGCTTGAAGGACCCCTATTTTAGGTAATGGGGAAATTGAGCAGACACACACACATGCTCAAGCTCACACAAACACCACGGTTGCTTCATTTGCATCACAGACCGGCGTACTAAGTAACACTGGCTTTGTGGATACAGGGAAGGTAGAAGAGGTTGCAGAACTTAAAAAGTTTCAAATCATTGTTACAGAGCCAATACAGTAGCCACTGTCCAATACAGTACTCTCCAATACAGTAGCCACTAAGCACATCTGGCTATGTAAATTTAACGAAAATAAAGTTAAAAATTCAGTTCTGCGGGCACAATAGCCACCAGTGGCTACTACATTGGACAGTGCAGATATAGAACGTTTCCCTCCCCACAGAATGTTGAGTGTATCAGACAGCACAGAATTTTTGTTTTAAGATTTTATTTATTTATTTGACAGGGAGAGACACAGTGAGAGAGGGAACACAAACAGGGGGAGTGGGGGAGAGAGAAGCAGGCCTCCCGCGAAGCAGGGAGCCCGATGCGGGCCTCGATCCCAGGACCCTGGGATCACAACCTGAGCCGAAGGCAGATGCTTAATGCCCCCCCCCTTTTTGAAAGATTTTATTTATTCATTTGACAGAGACACAGCGGGAGAGGAAACACAAGCAGGGGCGTGGGAGAGGGAGAAGCAGGCTTCCCGCTGAGCAGGGAGCCCGATGCAGGGCTCGATCCCAGGACCCTGGGATCATGACCCGAGCGGAAGGCAGACGCTTAACCGACTGAGCCACCCAGGTGCCCCCAGACAGCACAGAATTCTAAAGTGTGTCTCATCTTTGCCTACCACCTTGGCATAATAAACCTCAAATATTAAATGATTGTAGACATTCCCTTCCTGAGACCATGTGGTTGTATTCTCCCAAGATTTCCATTTCTTCCACTTCACCTTCCAGTTTTGTCTGTAGAATCGAATAGTAGAATTACTCCTTCAGCTGCTGTGAAATCAAATTATTGGCAGTTCAAGTTCTGTCCAGCTGTAGCGTCTGTGACCCAACCTTTATGTGGTGTTTCCTTGGTTCCCTTTCTGTTTATCCTCACCCTGTACTGACACTATGCAGGCACCGGAATGAGGGTTATCTTCTTAGATGTGTATTGTTTTCTGCTGCTTCTTAAATGTTTTGTGCTGAAGAAATTAAACCCTTCCCTTGGCAAACTCCAGCTACAAACTCCTATTCCAATTAATGACGTCATTGTCGACTTTGTTCAAATTTAAAGTTCCCATCCCTCTGCCCCTTGAAAATTTCTTTCAATCTTGAGAATTGTTGCTAATTCTCCTAGTTTTGCAGAGCTTTCATAACATTCCTGCCTGTCTTGTTATCCAGTTTTACTATTTGGGCCTTTTCCCCCATCTTTCCCCTAAGACTTTCCTGTAAAGGATCAGATGGTCTCTGTCGCAGCTGCTCAACTCTGTCATTTTGGTGTCGGGCAAAGGCAGCCTTCAGCAACAATACAAGGATGGACAAGGCCAGATCTGGCCTGCAGGCTGCAGTGTGCCAACACCTGCCCCGAAGAACATTTTAAATTCTATTTACCTCATCATGCCAGAAGAACGTCCTATTTCCCTTTTTTCCAGTCATGGGCCTCCCAGTTCCAGAGTTCAAAATGCCAGCAGTGCCTTGATTTCCTTAA